CCCAAAATATAAATCAAAAGTGTTTTTAACTAAATATACATTGCATAAGAAGACACGGTTTTGAATTTACGCTGGTACCAACAAATTTCAACTAGAAAAATTATTTATTAGATAATTATGAAAACAAATATTTTTTTTTAAAAACAATTAACAACCTAGTGGTTGCACTATTGGTTATATACTGTAACATAATTGATTCTCAGCAAGTTCGACAAAAAAAAAAAGTAAAAGAGAAAAAGTTGATTCTCAGCAAATAACTATATAACATGACATTTCGAGTAAATAAAATTCATCACCGACCTATATGGCTAATATTTACCAACACAATAACTATTCATCAAGTAAAAATCAATAGTCCGCTACCACTTAGCTACCTAATCCTCAATTAATTTATTGTTATTTTTCAAAACTATAATTGAACCCGTAAAAAGCTAAAGCTTTTTCTATACCTTCATTTGAAATTACTTGGTATAAGGTTGATAAAGTTTTAAAGTTTGAGATATATGAAAAAAAAAATTAAGAATATGATATTTATCTCATTCACGCTAAGCGATCCGGGGCGAGAGGGGAGGGGGATCGAGTTTCAGCACGCTGCACACCTTCAATAATACAATTTGACTTATAGTACTTAATAAATTCCTTAAAACTTTTGTTTGACATTGACTTTAATTACTTGATCTCATCCCATAGAGCAAAAGTCAACTCTTATCTCTCTAGTCAACGTAAGTTTGGGTTATAAATTAATTGACATTTCTTTCATGTACATCGAACATCTCATCAAGCCTTTTATCTCCATTTTTCTCTTTGAATACAAGTTTTAGAAAGATCATTAAATACCATTTTAATTACTTAATAATCATATGGCACCACCTCCTCCGTCACCACCACCAATTTCTTTGAAGGTAGTAATCCTTTTACTTAGGGTCTTGACTGCGGTTTTCCTCGTTATAACAGTCATCATCCTCAGCACCAACAGTGTCACAATTGAATCTCAAGGAAACTCATTGAAATTTCATTTCAAAGATGTTTATGCCTATAGGTATTAATCTTTCTTTTCCTCCCTTTTTATGTATAGTTATATTCGACTTGGTTTGTTTTGTTGATAAAAAACATAAGTTGTCAACTAAAGTAATTTGGTTTAAGCGTTTGCGTCTTGTAACAACTCTTTTATGAGTTTTCTCTTAAACTGGGAATTTGTTTTATTTTCAGCCATTTTCGAAGTTTACTATTTAACTGATTCACTTAATTTTTTTTTTTTTTTGCGGGTATGATTCTCGAAGATACATGCTTTCAGCTGCCGTCATCGGACTAGTTTACGCGGTCATACAACTATTCTTCACAATCTCCCAATTCGCCACCGGAATTAAAAACCCTTTAAATTATCAAGTAGACTTTTACGGTGACAAGGTATTTAATTATAATTTTTGAACGTAGAAAATGATAAATTTATAATATAATGTGTTGAACGTATTGATTCTTTGAAAGGGTTCAACCAAGCTTTTGACTAAAAATGGGTGTGTTAAATTACTTAATGATACAGGTAATATCATATCTAGTGGCGACAGGATCAGCTGCTGGATTTGGAGTGAGCAAAGATTTGAAAGATGTATTTATAGCATTAGTCGCGTTAGATTCGACCGATCCTGTAGATAAATTCTTCAGCAGAGGTTACGCATCAGCTAGTCTTCTTCTATTTGCTTTCATTTGTCTTGCAGTTTTATCTGTTTTCTCATCTTACGCCATTACCAAACGACCGATTTAGTCTAAGTCTCATCACTATACAAACTTATAATGTTGTCAAAATATGATTTGATCAGATAGCTTTTGTCTTGTAATGTTATGTGTTGGTATTCATTTTGTAACCATTTGAAATTGTTTTTGTTACGATATTGAAATAAAGAAGTGTTGCTTTGATGTATAAAACATAAACTTCAAACTTTTCTGGGTACAAAACTAATAAATTTTTTGAAATATTTTCAAAAAC